TGCCAAGCGACGAAAACCCAACCCCGATGGCAAACACCGGGGGGGGCTGAGGGGGGGTGTTATCTCCCGTCGAAATGTGGTGAACAATACCGTAGGCGTTTTTCTCTCACGGTTCGTTCCGGTAGACGATGTACCCGATGAAGCCATAGAAGAACGTGATGAAAAAGATCAGAAACACCACAGGAACCATCCTGGTCAGTTACAGGAGCGTCGACACATCAGAGAAGCACCGCCGTCGCCGGCATCATATCACACCGACATCGCCACAACGTGAGCGCCCCACCCCCAACACATGGCACCGATGAAACGCCGGTAAATCGCAAGGACGAGAAGCACCAGCACCAGCACCAGAAGCAGCAGCAGAAGTAGCGGCGTAAGCAGCAGCCGCAGCAGCAGCAGCAGCGTAAGCAAAAGCAGAAGCAGATGCACAAGCACCAGAAGCAGCAGCAGCAGCAGCAGCAGCAGCAGCAGCAGCAGCAGCAGCCACGGCAGCAGCCACAGCGACAGCGGCAACGACAGCGACACTAGGATCGGTTTCAGCAGCGTCCATTTCGTTAGCGTGAACCAGCCGTCCGTTCTGCAACGATGAGAAGGCCTAAGACCCTCGTCCTCGTCTTGCCAATAGCACCACCGCCAAAACCACCAGCGACAAACGTAAGAGCAACGCCGAAAAACACGCAGCAAGCCCAAGCAAAACGAAACCAGCGCCAATTGTTCTGGACATGGGCGATAGGAAATCGACCTCAGACTACATCGGATGCCCCCTGCATTGCTTCTACTTCCCTCGGGAAGTCGCAGCATGATGACGACCCTTTCCGTTCGCAACTGAAAGCACCTACATGGCAATGGTTCAGTTTCACTTCGAAATAACTGTCAACGATCTTGGAAAAGAACTTGGCATGGGCGACGGACACGTTGTGCTGCAAAGAGGGACACTCGACAATAGAGTCGCTGCCCTCTACTGGAGCACTTTCTCAGAAATTGTCTCACCTCGGAAGCAGTCGGATGGTGGCTGCCAAGAAGTGCTTGAGGTACGTCCTTCGGCTGATAAACAAGAACGGCAGGATCACGTGCCTCCAACTGCGGAACAATAAAAAACCGTGTTGTCGGCGATTCGGGCGTCCATCACAGAAGCAATATCATTTTTTTCTCGAGTGTTGTGCCCACGGGAGTTTCGAACCCCAGCACCGGTGAACTTGGTATACAGTCGTGGTGTCCCGGTTTAGCGGTTCCCCGTAAGCGGGATGCCCTGAATAGCGGTCCCAAAATCTCGTGGCACGGATGCACCTCGGAGGTAAAACTGCAATGTAACCTGCAATCCGGTTTAGCGGCGATGCCCTCAATAGCGGTTACAACATTTTGTGATATGGACCACTAAACCGGGACCACGACGATTTAATGGCAAAGCACCCAACGCCCAAAGCAAAAAATGATCTCTGTGTGCGCCAACTCGCCCGCATGACGTGGGCGCTAAGAGCCAAAATATGCCCACACGCGAGCACTGGTGCACTTGAAAAAGTACACCACACACATAAGAAATAAATGCCCTCTGCATGCGCCAACACGCCCGCATGACGTGGATGCTAAGCCAAAATACGTCCACACGAGTTTCGAACCCAAGCAGTGGTGCACTTGGTGCATGGCAAAGCACACCACCTCCGTACGAAAAAAATGCCCTCTGTGCACGCCAAGACGCCCGCATGACGTGGGCGCTAGACCGAACCCCAGAAAAAATGGTTGCTCTCTCTGTGCGTCAACAGCAATCCCCGCCTAAAGGGGAACAGGCGGCCTGCCTGCCGCGAGCACAACAAGGGCCGGCAAACAAAACTTGCCTGAACCAAGTTACCCCGAAGACGTAGTGCGCGAACAGCTTCGCCACAATGCTGACGCTGAGCACGGTCACCATGCACGTCCACGCCAGCTGCCACGGGCGAAGCGCGCTTAGCGAATAAACTTCCGCCTGCGGGCGATCGAGCTCAAGTTCTTCTTCGTCCTCCTCTCCCTCGACCCCGCTCCAGCCCCCTCTGGCGCCGCTGGTGCCGCCACCGCCGTTCTTCACAGGGATGCTTCCAAGTCTAGAAACGCGACAAGGGGGAGGGGGGAGGGTGTACTCATAGTCTTGCAGGCCGTAGTCGTTAGATCATTGACCTCGCATCCTTGCAAAGCCGGGACGGAGCACGCCGAGTTCTCACCCGGCCAGGCTCTCACATCACCAAGCGCGGAGCGCCGTAAGGTAGTCGGCGTGTCGCACGAAAGGTGCGCTGCATCCTGCTAAGCGTGTTCGGGGTACTTGTATGTTTGCATGCCTTTGCGGTTAGACCATTGACCACGGGTTCTCCTCGAGAGGACCGGGCATTGTTCTCGCAGGACCGATAACGATGGCCAATCGTTCCCTCCGAAGAGGGCGACCGAAAGGTGTGTACCCCCCTGGCACCAGAATAGATGGGACGATTACACACACATCATGCCGAGACAGTTGCAAGAACAACAGCAACAGCGACCACGAGGAGGACAACGATGGTAGCGAAAAAGACAACAACAACAACAACGACGACGACGACGACAGCGACGGCGACGACAACATATCGGACTGACCTAGACAAGGCCTCCTGGCGGAGATGGCAAGTGTAGAAGACACACAAAACACACTCTATCCAAAGCGATCCCAGCGAGGTAGGCCGCCACCCTGTACAATACAAAAGAACGGCCAAAGGGGTGGGTGAAATAGTGGCGCATGATTGGCTACCTTGCAAGGGGGGGGAAGGGAAAGACGCTATCAGCGGAGGCGTGAGCGAGGTAGGCAAGTAGGCTGCCGCACTTGTGCGAGAACGAATGCATGACACAGCTTGAACACAAACAGAACTTAGACAAACAATAGTGTGGCACATTTCGCCGTTCTAGACTCCTTGTAAAAGGGCGGAACCTATACATTTTCGCGAGCGAGAAATTGGTCTCTCGGGTTATTATATTTTTTTGTAGCTTGTTTCCAGGGGCAGGTCTAATTCTCACAAGCAGACGTTCGATTGTTTGCCTTCAAGACTTGCGAGATGGTAGGTAGAGGTGAAAAGAATTTGCAACGTGTGAAGACCGACGACCCCAATCAGGCAAATCTCCCACGCGAAAAACGAGCAGCAAGGAAAGCAAGGGAAGGCAGGGAGAACGACGCAGGTGGGAGAGTGCACGCAAAGGCACCCCTTGCTACATTTCTGGGCGAATTCCTGAACGGGCAGAGGGAAGGGAAAAAAGCAACAGCTAAAAAAACGAGGCAAGAGGGAGGTCACTGACCCAACCCACGAAGGAAGGAGGGAAGACAAAGAAAAAAAGAACACAAAAAACAATGGCTGACCTAGGAAGAGGGTGTTGTCTTCCAAGGAAGCCGACCGCTTGTGCGGGCCCACGCAGGACAGGCACCTCTGTATCTCCACCATGGGCAGGGTGAGGTGGACCAACGTGCAGACGTTCAACAGGCTATTCCAGGCATCGTTCCGGAAACACTGATTTTTTTTTTCCGTCCAACCAAGACAGGCGCAAGATCGGAAAAAAGCGAGTCAAGAACCCCACTTTGGACGTGGTGCCGCAGAATCGCGTGCAGCAGTGGGGGGCCCTCAGCAACGCTGCAGTATCCTGCCCAGCTGCAATATCCTGCCCAATTTTACCGGCACAATAGCGGGCACTCGGTATGGTTCGGACTGCTGTGGTACGCAACTTCGCCGGCTCCATTGGGGGGACCGTGATATACTCAACCAGCATTACTAAGGGGGGCCAACTGCTGTACTCCGTAAATGGAGCCGTGGGTGCGCTTCTCCCCACACAAGGGAGTGATGAACCATCGCACAAAAACGTCGAAGTCACGCGGTGAAAAGTGAGGAAGCCCCCCGTGCTACCAAGGACGCAAATATTTTTTTCACCTTCAACGCGCGTATGGACCGTTCGTTGTGGATGCACGCCGAGCTGTCTCTCCCTGCCAGAGCGTCCCGGACGTAAATCGCGGCTACCTTATGTGCAGGGCGGCAGGAGGCGCGAAGAGCATCTCAAGTGGTACAAAGACATCGGTAGTTTCCGCTGACGTTATGTATGAATTCATGCTGAAGTAATACTTGTAGTTTGTCCCGGACTCTCATCTGTTGAAGAGCTGAAATCATTGTGTCATAAGAAAAATATAACAATTCGTCGTACAGCAGTCGGGGCCCCTCAGTAGCACCCTCGGCAACAAAGGCTAGAAAAATAAGTTCCTTCCTTAATGCGGGGGGCCCGAAGTTGTACTGTAGCGCGTAGTCTACTTCTCTTTCCAGCTTCTCTACGAGGCTAAAGTAGGTCAAACCGCTCTCCACGCGGACCGCTTCTCGTGACTACAGCTAGCGCTTGCTGTGGACAACGAATGGTTGCCGATCGATTGGTTGTGTGAAGGCCTGTGCAATACGTCCTGCTTCAACCAGAATCTGGATCCTTTTTTGTCCCAGCTTCATCAACTCGGAGCCTTGAGTTCCCGGTAATAAGATACCCCGAACGGGCTTCAATGCAAGAACAAGACGAGAAAAACAAAACTATTGAACGGAGATTTTTGTGGGCAGGCATCCAGCAACGGCCCCAACGGAATGCCTGAACACCAAACGTTACACCAAGATGGATACGCATATCCATGTCCTACTGATCGTGTTTCTTTTCTGCTCGAAACATCCCGGAGCGACCTCCAGGCAGTATTTCTTGCTCAAGGTTCTCCTCACCTCATGTTTGTCGACGTTGTCGGCTAGAAGGGGTGTGATCGATCGGGCCATCAACGGTTCCCTGCGGACCGTTCAGAGTGAGAGCGAATTGAGGGGTGCCACGTTTTCATTTGTCGAGTTTCGCCGTTCCCCTCTGAACGGGTAATATCCTCGGCACGCATTGATCCCCCCCTTTGGTGGCAGCCCCGTGACGTCTTCTCCAACAAAATCGGTCTATTTGATGTACGTCAGTGATTTTCCACCGTGCGGTGCCAGGCATCTTCCCATTCAGACGAGATGCATCAACACGTATGTCCTCGGGCAGTCCATGTTCCTGCTGTTCAACAGACCTCGGCTTGGAGCAGGCTACAGCAAGGGCGCGCAACTAACAATCGTCCCGTCAAGAAATTCGAGGCCTCAATTTTTCGCGACCAAACAAGAAGCTACAGGGTTTAAACATCACAGCTCAGAGGTCGGTGCTTCAACTGAACGCTTTAGAACAACCTGTGCTCGACGATACCTACGATATGCTTCAAAGAATTGAGCGGCCGACCCGAACTTTGGCGGCGTATTACTACAAATATGAACAAAAAATACATCAACGACGAAACAGGTCGCGAGGCCTCTCTGTAGATAGAGCAGTCAACTTACTCGGCTAGGAGCTTCCATCGCTCGGCTTTGGTCACGAGGTCTCTGCTGATGGCGGTAGCCACATCAGCAGTGGCGATTTCTTCGGCATCCCACGATGCCTCTGATTACGGGCGTATCAGCACGCAGCGTAGGCGAAAGCAGAGACAGGAAACGGGGCAAGCAAGAATTGTTGTAGTGGGTATTTCTTGAGCATTCTAAGCTGCCTCTGCTTAGGGTGGACGGTAAGAAACGCCAGAGAAATGAAGGGAAAAGAACAAGAAAACGAGGTTTGTCTTGTGTCGCATAAGAAAAACAAAAAACGAGCAAAAACGTGTCTGTTGTCGCGCCGTGACAACCTACAGGAGAGGGGGCCGAGAGTTACTTGTGTTCGTGTCGACAAAAATGGGGGAAAGCATAGCAACGACAGCAGCAGACTCCCGAAAAAGTAGTCCAACAGGCAAATTTCACTACCAACAATGAATCATCGAGACAAGGCGGCGAAGCAGAGGTGAAGTTTCGGCACAGACAAGACGCCGGAAGTTTTCGTGGGCACAAGCTCCTTTGAGCACCAATTTTTCCGGGAAAACCCATATAATACAGAGAGTGAGACAATAGCCAATTCAAAGCCGAACTGACTCTCGCTTGAAGCATGCCTCGTGATTGCCTCGGAGGAGAGTCAATCCCCAACAACAGAGTAGTAGGACAACAGCCAGAAGTAAACCCGTTCGACTCTCGCTCGAAGCATGCCTCCTGATGGATTCGGAAGAAAGCCAAGCTTGGGCAATTTATCTATCTTGCAATCATAGAAACAACTTGCCGTTTACGGTGGCCTTTGCTCTACTGCCGGCGGACTACCAGGCAAGCAGATCGTTTTGGCGGCACAACTAACGCCGGTTCGACGCGAAGGGAAACAAGAGTATTTCCTCGAGCCCACCGTCCTGTCGGCGCGTGAAGAGGCCAAGGGGTGATACATCGAAGTGCTGTGACTTTGATGCGGATCGGCTGGGAAAATAATACTACTGCTGTGTAGGCGCCTAGGCCATGTTCAAAGCATGCGGAGGAACCCCTCAAAGCATGCCTACTGGCTAATTCGGAGGAGAGCACGCCTGGGCCATATATACATCTTGCAACATATAGAAGCAGGAACACTTTTACGGCGGCCGGCGCTCTACTGCCGGAGGACCACCAGGCAGGCCACTATTGCGGCACAACTAACGCCGGTTCGGCGCGAAGGGAAACCTCACACTCCCAACCCACCATCAGTGGAAAGCCGCCGCCCGACGACGGCTCCCGACGCCGACTTGGCGCGAGGCATCCCCGAATTCCCGGGCATCACCAGCGGTGTCGTGAACGACCGCGCCTTGCCAAGGCCTCCCCCCCCTCCGCCGCTGTTGGTGGTGGTCATCGTCGTCGAAACTCGCCCGTCCGAAAGCCCGTACGAGGAGGAGGAGTGCGGCATGCCTTGCCTGGTTGCTCCGGCCACTCTTCCACCCCCTCTGTCAAGAACCTCACCGCCAGCGCGAGAGTCACCGTTGCCGACATCGACGCCGCCGCCGCCGCCGCCGGTTTTGTAGCCCGGCGCCCCTCCGATATGACCGCTTTCGCCTCGACCCCCCCAGGAAGAGGAAGTCAGAAATGAGAGCCTTGATAACGACGCGCCGCGCCTTATCCAACGACTGTCGTCGTCGTCGTCGTCTCCGTCGCCGCCGCCGGTGGGGGCACGTCTGCCGTTCTGCAGTAACTCTGGCCAGCGAATCGCGCGTAGAGTGGAGGGGGAGCCGGCGTGGGGTTGAGGGGCGGGGGCG